AGCAAAAGGGGTTTCGTAAAACCTGCTAAACAGACATATAAGTGTCGTCCACATATGCCAACCATCAAGTTGGTACGTGAATGACATCTTTAACGTGTTATTTCTCATCAAGCGCGCCAAATTCAAAATGATGCTCAAATAAACAATTGGCTAGTCTGCAGCGCATAAGCAATCTCATGATACCGAATCTGGGCTTTGTGTATACAATATTACTCCAAACTATATTATGTAAGATGTTTGAAAACTTATGTGTCCTAATACCTGTTTCAGAATATCTTGCTTTCTAGACCATCACCAAACGAACTGGGCTGGTTCGGAGCATAAAAAATGGAGAGTTCACATAAGTTTTGGATCTTCTCGATTTGGACGATTGCAGCGCTCAAAAATCTATCATTTAGTAAGAGAGCGAATCAAACCATTGTCTCTCCTCTCTTTTTGAACCAAAAATAGTATGGATAAAGGACTGGTAGATATGGCGCTCCAATCACATGCCTGCCAGGTCGTCCTTTGGACTGTTAACAAATCTTTGCTGTTTTTGTTTTTGATGTTGTTTCAAAATGTTTTCTTACTAGCTTTTTGCGACAGTGGGGACTTCGTAAAAATTGGCGAAGGGGGGACTTCGTAGAAATTGGCGAAGTCATGGGGGACTTCGCTTCCAAACCCTCCAAACCAACGCATGCCGGGCCCTGGCGTTCGCTCTGCATCGCGACAGTATCTGCCTCATATCGTGGCGAGATCCATGTCTACGCCTCGTCATTCACTTCTCTAGCTGGCAAACTGCCAGCGCTACAGGCTCGCAAAACCTCCAGCGAAGCGAGGCGCAGCTCAAGTGAAGTGGTTCTGCTTACGCCGGTTTGAAAACTATATAGTACATACTCTCCATCTGACCTGTGTGCTAGTACCTCGCAACGATTTTTGGTAACAGAATTGATAAGGAGTAGTGTAGAAATTCGGATGGAGATGGAAAAGGACAAAAACACACCTTTTCGATAAATTCCGCTTCCCTTATCTACCAATCGTTCGTGTTAAAAATGCTGGGATATTTAACAGATAATTATTGGAAATATCTTATTCTATTCTGTCTAGTGCACAAAGTGCTCCATTCAGGAAGAGAACAAAAAGAGAAAGCGATAGTCGTCAATGAAGTAGAAAAAAGCACGGGACTAAATTTTAACCTCTTAGATTGCAAACTATTGATACTTTACAAAATTACCTTGAATTATAATACCTCAACACCACCTTAAACAAACAATAATTCAATGCCTACTTTCCAATCACTTCTCAATAGCTTTTTTAATTCCTACATTGCCCAAAAAATCATTGCTAATCAAAAGACTAGTTTTTATCACTAATGTGTTAATTATCAGATCTACGTTCCCATCCAACGGGCGATATGCTGGGCATTGGCTGGGCGACAACA